CATATAGCATTTCCATTCAGTTCTTGAAGCAACACAAGACATTTGTGGGGTCTTCGCATTTTTTTAAAAAATTTTTAAGACTCCCCAAGGTAACACGTCTGCTTGTGTAGAGATAGCTGTTGAAGCAGCAGATGTGAAGACATATTTACCTTGGGCTATCCCTACTGTGTGCTGCCAACATCTTGCTGCCATGAGCTGTCGTCAGTCTGTTGAGGATCATTAATACATAATTTCATGCATGATGGGAGAAACTCCACCTTTTTGCAAAGATTCCCTAAGATTCTTAATTACCTGAGACAAAGTAGTCTCTATTTTGCCTTATGTAGATCTTTGGATTACTTTGAAAAGATATTCAAATAAATAATTTCAAAGAAATTCCAACACATTCAAAAAAATAGCTTTTCATAAAGATTTTATCTTTCCATGCTCTGTAAAACATCTTTTTACATTAGTCAAATTGTAGAAACAGTTGGCATTTTCTTACAAACAAAATCTTTGACCATAGTGCATCTTTAAAATGATATATTATTTTGTGCCAGCACAGTATTGTACAACATGAATCAATATTTCTCACAACTCACAGTTTCTGTAAAATAATGGGAACAGCCTAGACATTTATGTCTTCTGAAGCATTTCCACTCATTTATCTCAGCTCTTGGGGTCATAACTGCTTTAGACGTACAATTAACATGTTAATAACATTACATGTGATTTGTAAGGATGTTAAAATGTGTTTCGGCATGGTCAGGAAGTGCATTACTGTATTAAAAAGCTATATTAAGAGAATTATTAACCTAAAGGATGCTGATTTAAAAAAATATATCAATATAATGAGTCACTGGCTCGTAGCATGAACAAGTGTTTGATGAAGAGACTGAATAATATGTAAATATGTTGTCTAAGCAGATTTAGTTACATTGCGAAAACAGCTGACATTTCCCATCTCTAGAAGAAGAAAAATAAATAAAAAAATTGTGAAGATAATTATGGAGAGTATTTAAAGGATCCATGAAAAAGCTTGAGGATATGGTTTGAACACATAAATGTGCAGATGTATCCAGACCGCTGTTGCATTCTTTTTTTTTTTTTTTAAATGAGAAATATTTATATTTAGAAGTATGTATTTAGTTACTTAATTACTGAAATCAGGGCTTAAAATTTCCACTCCCCTCTAACTATTGGCAAGTGAAAATGCCATCCTGGTGAGTAGAAAGGGACTCCTGGGGAACGTGCTAGGTCTTCCAGTGGCAAGTAACTTTCAAGGCCTTGCTCGTAGCACAGAACGTCAAATTTTAAGCCCTGCTAAAATGATTGGTCAAATAGGGAGTTGAAAATTCATAGGAGGAAAATTCCATAGAAGTTCCCAAAAAAATAAATGGAGTGCTATTTAAATAGTATTGCTGGTCCCCCAAGAAATCTTAACTTTTCATTGTCAAATGTTACTGCAAATATTTTTAGGTGCTGTGAGTTCAGTTTCATATCTTGATAAGCTATTAGGAAAATACTGAATTTTTTAAGAACTTCCAGTTTGGAATGTGATAAATATACTCCTGTTATACTTGAAGTGCAAACGACTGACCCTCGGCTGTAGTATCCCAACTCTGGTTCCATATTAATTAAAACTATAAAAACCATTGGAGGTAGTAGGTAGCTATACTGATGCAGCTGGGCTACTGTCAATACAATACATAGGTGATACAGCTGCTATTGCATTGGTATTCTGGACCATCACACATTGGTACATGCTGGTCAAGGGCCCTGAACTTCAAGAAGGAAGGGTAGAAAAAGGAAGTGGCCAGGTAAACCGCTCTAGATTCACCCTGTTTGGAAAGAAGGAAGCAAAGGTACTATCAAAGTTAACTTTTTTTTTTAAGAAATCACAAATTATTGTATTAATTATAATCAAAGTTCAATAACCTAAAAATATTTACAGCAACATTTAACAATAAAAAGTTAAGATTCTTGGGAAACCAGCAATACCATTTAAATTGCACTGTATTGACTTTTTTGTGGTTTTCTTTGGAATTTTTCTGTAGCAATTATGTCCCGCAGCTTGGAAAGGTTGGGTAACTGATCTAATCTAGCAAAGTGTAGAATGGCATAAATCAAGCAAAAATTCAAGTTCATCAAGTCATCTATGCTTTGACTATGGCTACTCTGGCCTTAAACATTCGCTTTTAAATTTCACTTTAGTGAATAAACCCTGTAGGTAGTAAAATTAAATGTAAACGATACGTGATGTTCCTAAGGGAATTCTCATTAGACTTGTGTACGAGATTTTTAAGTTCTCATGGACAACATTTTCCAAATTGAAATCAGCACTGTTCCAACTAAATCCTATTACACCTCCCCGGCTGTCAGACAGTTGAGAGACATTTCTTCCTTTTAGTTTAGCTAATGGAGCTGATCCCAAGACGCTGGCACTTGCCAAAAACGCCTGCTTTTAAAAGATGTTTTGATGAGCTGCGATAGCTTACTAAGAAGTCTGCAGTTGGATAGTCATGTGTGTGACAGGTCCGCAAGGCCAATGACAAGCCTTTGATTGGACATTCCCCCCAACATAAGAGACATCCCTCCACCGCACAGACTAAGTTTTCATATACAAACACATTCAAAAGGAATTATATGCATATTTTTTTGTGGGGTATATCTACTTAACTTAATTTTTTTCTCAATTGAAGTGTTCCTTTAAGAACTACCATAATTAATTTACTACCAAGTATAATCCATTAACAAATCTTCGATTTCATAAGAGTTTGATGTTGTTTAAAAACAAAAAAACAACAAACAAAAAGGACAGATATATTGTACCTTCGAGATACAGAGTCATAAATTCTCTTGACTGTCACTACCTCTTTTCAATCTTTCTAACTTCATCAATGACGTTAAATTTAAATTGTGACAGGTTATGCCTGGCCTCCATCAAATCTGCTGGAACTTGTAGATCCAATTTTTTTCTTCTAATATTTGCTAGATGAGTTCACTAAAATGAGAATTTAAAGTTTAAGGCCAAAGTAGACGAAATGAACAAATAACAGAGTTAGAACATTTTTTTTTTTGTTTAACTATTTTGACCTTAAATTTGAAATTCTTACTTTATTGAATAATCCTTTTAATCTTAGTTCTAAAAAGCAACCTTTGATGTTTTCAACAATACATAACATAGGCAACACTGACCTTAGCAATGCAGTGTTGTGCTCAACAATACTAAGACTAACTAATTGTTGTGAGAGACAATCACAGTGATCACATTGCTTTTTATTTTATTATATTATTTATAGAGCACTAGCAGATTTTGTAGTGCTGTACAATGAGTGGACTAACAGACACGTAATTGTAACTAGACAAGTTGGACGCACAGGAACATAGGGGATGGGGGCTTACATGCTAGCGGGAGTGGGGAAAGTGACACAAAGGGTAAAAGTAAGGGTATCAAAGTAGGTTGCTAGAAAAGTATTCACTGAGGAATTAGTAGGTTATTTTTCACAGCTGCAGAAAATGAGTTAGGGTGTGGGGATGAAAAACTGTTGACATTTTAATTGATACTGAAAAAGGGAGCTTTAAATGATTTTTTGAAGGAGTGGAGACTGAGTGATAGTCTAAAGGAGAAGGGAAGGGAGTTCCACAGAAAAGGTGCAGTCCTGAAGAAGTCTTGAAGGCGAGCATCAGAGATGGGAGTATGGACAGACGATAGACGTAAATAGCTGCGACATATCATGACTGGGATTTGCTCCCAAGGTGATCAAGTTACCTAGGAGCCAATATGACAATATTGATAGGCTTCCCCACTGCTGGGCAGCCAGCAATAACCTACTGCGAGATGATCAAGGCATGCATTGCTGCAATAGGACACTGCTTGTCACGGAGCTCTTTCTAGAAAGCCTCATAGTGGAGACTTCCAGTAACAGCAGAGTACTTATGATGACTGTGGCATGCTCTAGTTTAAATAGTAAATGTGGTTTCTAGGCTTCGGGGCCTCCACATGGCTCATTCTATGATACCTCACTAGTAAGGATAGTAACAAGACCAGCGAAAACTATAATATTTTTGTTGGCTGCTGTAGAGGATACATCAGCCATCGCAAGGTACCCAAGTGAAGGTGACTCAATAGCAGTTAAAATATAATATTAGTTTTTTTACAGCTGTATGAGCTACATGACCATTGATAGAAGATGCTGAATGAACATATTTCTTACTTAAAAAAATAAAATAAATTAAAAAAAATATTGTCATGGAGCTATTTCATGTTTTATAATCACAAAATATAAACTGTTGCTATGTCAGTCAGTACTGTCTAAGGGTTACTCAAACCACTATGACCACTTATGCTTTTAGAAGTGGTCATGGTGGGGCGTGGCCTAGCTGTTCATGGAGACGGTCGCACACTAGCCGAGCTCCAAGGCCTGAACCGCCATAATTTGCTAGTTACCCTGCAATAGTCGCAATGGTGCGGACCAAGAAGCACACTAGTGTTGGGGGCACACTGTCGGGCTTCCCGAGACGCTGCATGGGCACCCTCGATGATTATATCAGCACCCCGGTGGGACTCCGTGGCAGCGCGCCGTCAGACAATATGGCGGCTGTGTCCCCCAGCGCAACCAGCGGAGGTGACTATGCCAGACTACTGCTCGGACGATGCGCTCCACTCCATCAGGGCAGAACTCTCCCGAATCGGGAGCAACATGCTCACTAAAGCGGACACCGGGGCCCTAGTGCGGGAAATACGGGAGGAGGTCTGGGAGGACCTACTGAGCCTCCGCACAGATCTCACAGCCCTGGAAGCGAGAATGGACTCAGTGGAGGCGGAGGCGCGAATCTGCTGCCAGCAACATCGGGCGGCAGAGACGGCGGCTACCTGGCAAGGGAACATGCTGCTGACACTAAGGCGCCAGGTGGAGGACCTAGAGAACCGCAGCAGGAGGCACAATATTCGAATCCGAGGCCTCCCAGAGCCAGACACAGAACCCCTGGCAGTCTCCCTGTTGCAACTTTTCCGCCAGATCCTGGGCCCGGACGCACCGCCCGACATCCGCCTCGACCGGGCCCACCGAGCACTGGGGCAGGCCAGACCGGACGGCAGACCCAGGGACGTGGTGTGCTGCTTCCATTCCTTCCCGCTAAAGGAGCAGGTCATGACAGCGGCCCGGAAAATGCTGACCATCAAATTTCAAGGAGCGGACCTGGCACTCTTCCAAGACCACTAAGGCCTCACGCTGGACGCCAGAAGGGTGCTGCGGCCCATCACCACTGCTCTTCGTGATAAGGGGATACCCTATAAATGGGGGTTCCCCTTCAGCCTCCAGGCACGGCAGGGCTCCACCTGGCACACTCTCAGGATGCCTGATGACGCCCCGAGATTCCTCTGGGCGCTCCACCTTCCACCCACGAGAATCTGCAACTGGCTCCTGGAGGAGCCCACGGGTCCCAGAAGGGGAGAGGACGCGGGCCTGCAGCCCTCCACCACCAGCCTGAGCCGGATGTCTCCGCCGCGACGCTGGGGAGGACCAGCGGGAGCAGAGGAGTGAGACTCCCAATATCCCGGGGACTGGGGAACCCTGCGACCTCACCGTATGTACTGTTACTGTATGTACTGTGCCCGCTTCAACTTGGCCGCCGGGTCTCCTGGACACTGGGGGGCGGGCGGACCGGGGGCCCACCGTTGGAGTCTCGGGTGGGGCCTCCCCCCCCCCGTGGGGCTAGGGATTGGGGGGTGGGGCCTGCTACGGGCTTGTGCCCCATGGGGGGGGTTCAGTGACTTTTGGGGGGGGGGTCCTGGTGCTTGGGTGAGGGGGGTGTCCCGGTGCTTGGGTGGGGCGGGGGTGTTGTGGCGGGTGGGGGGTTCCCCAGCATTGTGTCCCTAGGGCCGGGGGGCCCCCCGACAATGGGGGCATGAGACTCTGGCAGACCTAACAACTGTTGGGGGTGGTTGGGGTGGTGGGTGCCTGTTACTCTCATAGGGATGTCCAACGCAGGGGGTTAGCACGCCACGTACCCGCCCTGCGCCCCCCCCCTCCGAGATACCGCCAGGCTAGCCTTTGACGGAGGGGGGCCGGCCCCTTGGGAGCACAGAGGTGAGAAGAATCGCAGGGACCACCCGGGACACAGAGACCTACCCCTCCCAGAGCCTAAACCATTCGACACCACCACCCGCACCTAGATAGACTGACTGAAAGGGTAGGACACATCATTGCAGGGCGGTGACGGCCATTGGACACCTAGCACCACACACGACAGACAATACCTTGACCACAGTGCGACAGCACCTGGACAGTGGTCACGCTCTACTAACAGACGCACACCTATATAGGTAGGCGAGACCTAGGGACACCCGACTTCCGTTGGACTCGTATCCCTTGGGCACACCCAGTGCATTGAGTTATACACGACACCTCACGTGGGGATGGGGACAGTGGGGTGGCTGGGACTGGGACCCGTGGGGCGACCCCTCGCAGCGTTTCCCCGGGCTCCGCGGGGGTTTGACCCCCGGCTGGTACCCTCTTTCTGTTCCGACGCCCCCCCTTTTTTTTCTCTCTCTTTCCCTCTCTCTCTCCTGGGCTCTCCTCCCCCTAACACGAGCAGAACATGGCCGGTAACTTCCAACCAGCAGAACTCCGCCTATGGTCCAATAACGTCAGAGGCCTGAACGTGCCGGAGCGGCGCTCTCATCTCCTGCGCACCCTATGGACGGCACGCGCGTCTATTGCATTTATTCAGGAGACGCACTTCCAATGGCGTAATGCACCGGCGCTTCGGGACTCCCGCTTCCCCACTGGGTACTTCGCCAACCACCCACATGCCAAGAAGGCCGGGGTGGCAGTCCTCATTGCCCGCACAGTACCCTTCCTGAGCCACGCAGCACTAGCAGACCCAGGAGGCCGTTAAATTTTCGTGAAAGGCACGATCGCCGGACACACTGCACCCTGGCGTGTGTTTATGCACCCAATACGGTGCAACATACATTTCTGACAGGCACGCTACACACCTTGGAACGCTTTAGGGAGGGCCTACTGATCCTTGCAGGGGATCTTAACCTACCATTAGATCCACGCCTTGACACATCCCTAGGAACCAGCTCATTACCAACCTCCTACCAATGTAAAGCTCTTACGGCTCTCCGCAATTCAGGGCTGGCAGACTCGTGGCGGGTGGCTCACCCAACAGAAAGGGATTACTCATACTACTCCACAATACACAACCGCTACAGCAGATTAGACTATATCTTCCTCCCCTTCGAATACCTCACGCTCCTGCAATCCAGCGAGATCAGAACGGCCACCTGGTCAGACCACGCGCCGGTCCTGACCAGCATCGCCTCCCCGTTATACAAACCGAAGGAACTACAGTGGAGGCTCAACGAGCAAGTTCTGGAGGAGCCGGGAGCGTCCATGGAGATGAGGGAAGCGCTGCAACGGTACTTTGAGGAGAACTCCACCCCAGAAGTGGAACCTCTGACAGTATGGGAGGCTCACAAATGCATGGTCCGAGGTCACCTCATACGCTTCAACGGCTACAACGAGAACGGAGACTCTCCCATATCGCTAAAATTTGCGACCGGACAGGCAAGCTTACCCAAATGCCCGACGGAATTGCGGAGGCCTTCCACCAATATTACACAGACCTATAATATACCCACGGCACAGGAGGCAGCTGCACAAACTAGGCGTGAGACTAAAATCGCGTCCTAACTGGAACAATATGTGACCCGAACTCTCACAGAAGAACAGAGGACTATGTTCGAAGAGCCCCTCACCCTGGAGGAACTCAAACTGGCTTTTAAGATCGCCAAAGCACATAAGGCACCCGGTCCAGACGGCTTCCCAGCAGCATATTATAAAAAATTCCAAGACGTCCTGCTACCACACCTCCTACGTGGCCTTAACCATCTATTTGATGGCGGCCACTTACCAAGAGACACGCTGGCGGCCACCATTTCTCTTATTCCAAAGGAGGGAAAGGATTTAATGATCTGTTCCAGCTACAGACCGATTTCCTTACTTAATGCAGACTTGAAATTGTTTACCAAAGTGCTGGCCGCGAGCGTCAGGCGTGCACTGCCGGACCTGGTACATCCAGACCAGGTGGGATCCGTCCCTGGCAGGGAAGCACGCGACAATACTATTAGGGCCCTTAACGTGATCCACTTAGCGGGGAGCGGCCGGCGGGGGATGCTTCTCCTCTCGACCGACGCTGAGAAGGAGTTCGACCGGGTGGACTGGCGGTTCATGCTGACGACGGTGCGGCAATGGATGGACCGAGTAGAGGTATATAACATGGAATCCCTTACGGCATCGTTACACGGCACAGGAGACAAATGTGCCATCACTTGGCTTCCCTGGTGTACCTTTATCGCCCAAAGGCGGAATACAGCAGCCGGAGAATGACGCAGCCTGGAGGGGAACTAGGGAAGAATTTTTATTTTATTTCTCTTCTCTCCCCCTCTCAACCCCCTCCCCACCCCATTTTGTCCACCTCCTTCTTCCTCTGGTCGGGGGGCGGCACACCCTGCGGGGGCGCGGAGGCCCGCAGCCCCAATAGGCGTACATATGGGGACCACAACAGGTGTGGGGAACACCAGCAGGGGACAACCGAAAGATATAGTCCACCGAGGACAGACCTTTAGTCCAGGATTCAAGACCAGGGCAAGGGCCACCACAGCAAGACCTGGACTCAAAATGATGCACTAAGCCATGACTGACAGATGGGACGGCCAGTCACAATTAGCCAGGTAACCGGACTAGCCTGGACAGACACATAGCCCATAGTAAACCGAAACACGAGGCAAATCCACATGCGGCCCTCACCCATCATGTTCACATTTCCGATAGTTCCCCATGCCCACAATAGGTAACGATAATTAAGCACCCCGCAACCCATGGTACCTATGTTGCCAAAACTGATGACGCCCCGATGGCCTCACCCGCACCCCTGACTCACCTCCTGACGCCCAATATCCTAGTTACGCACTTAGCCCAAGTCAGTCCCTGACTTCTATGCACCTAACCACCACAAACGATGATAACCAAGAAGCCGGCTAGTAGTTCAGCAGAAATATCCATTGAGAACTGTACCTTGTTACATGTTATAGTTGGTTCTTACTTATTAGTTCAACATGTTCTTCATAAACCGAGGCCTGCGGTAAATGTAGGAAGATATATATTACATAGGGCCCTACTTAATATATGTGCAACCCGCTTTTCCCCTTTTCTTATTCTGTACCCCAGAATCTCAATAAAAAAGTGATTGACAAAAAAAAAGAAGTGGTCATGGGGGTCGGAGTATGGATATGCAGTGTTCCTGCTTGAAGCACTGCACATACTGAGATATTGTGTGCCGGGTGCTAATTTTATCACATGACAGACGGCTTCATATTTTGCATTACTCTCTTTACTGTAAAATCCAGCAGCACAGATCAGACAGAAACAACCAATCAGAAACAAGTATCCAACTATATAAAGGACTCTGCCAGCCTGATCACTTCCTCTTTCTTTGCCGCTCCAGTATGCACAGGTCATAGTATTTTGTCTAGTGATTCTATTCATTGTTATATGGCTGTTATAGCTTATGGATTTTAGTGTAATTTATACTGTATGAGAGGTTATATTGCTTCTTGGTTTCCTCCTCCTCCCTTCTCCTCACCCCTCTCTTAAACTACTACAGTCTTCTAAAACATATATATCCCCTATCTGTAGCCTGTCACCAGGGCCGGCGCGTCCATAAGGCGGCACAGGCGGCCGCCTTAGGGCGCACCGGCTCTGGGGGCGCAAAATTCCAGTGACCGGCAGGAGGGAAGTGCTCCCTCCTGCCAGGTCACCTCCTGGATCCCCGGCGCGGTGTGCGGCTGAACTGGATGCCGAGGGAGCTCTGATCTCTCTGGTCTGCTCCCTCGCAGGCTGCTGACTGATGACGTCATATTCCGGCTCCCGCGGCATCAGTCAGCAGCCTGCGAGGGAGCAGATCAGAGAGATCAGAGCTCCCTCGGCATCCAATTCAGCCGCACGCCTCCCAGCAGCCCCACTGGACCACCAATGAGAGACCCACGCCAGCTCTCCAGGTAGGGAGGCTGGGTGGGAAATTTTAATTTAATTTAGATGATTAATTACTGTTAGTGTGTGTGTGTGCATGTGAGTGAGTGTGTCTGTCAGTCAGTGTGTGTATGTGTGTCTGTCAGTGTGTGAGTGTGTCTGTCAGTGTGTGAGTGAGTGTGTCTGTATGTGTATGTGTGTCTGTCAGTGTGTGTCTGTCAGTGAGTGTCTGTCTGTCAGTCAGTGTGTGTGTATGTGTGTCTGTCAGTATGTGAGTGAGTGTGTCTGTCAGTGTGTGTGTGTGTGTGTGTGTCTGTGTGTCTGTCAGTGTGTGTGTGTATGTATGTGTGTGTGTGTGTATGTGTGTCTGTCAGTGTGTGTGTATGTATGTGTGTGTGTGTGTGTGTGTGTGTGTGTGTGTGTGGTTCTGTCAGTGTGTGTGTGTGTGAGTGAGTGTGTCTGTCAGTATGTGCGTGTGTGCATGTGAGTACATGTGTCTGTCAGTGTCTGTGAGTTTGTGTGTGTATGTGTTTGTCAATGAGTCTGTCAGTGTTTGTGTGTCTGTCAATGAATGAGTGTCAGATAAGTGAGTCTGGCTGTCAGAGATGTCTGTGTGTTTGTCATTGAGTGTGTGTGACTGTCAGTGTTTCTACACCCCTGACTGTAGCGTGGCCAAGCGGAGTGTACCGTGGTACAAGAACTTCTGTTTCCTGTACCTAGCAGGACTGACAGGAAAAGCTCACTGTACCGGGATTCGCTCCGCTCAGCCACGCTACAAGAAAGGTAGGAGGCACACCAGGAAGGGGAGGGGACCACTATGGGGGTGGGTGGTGCACCAAGGGACATGGAGAAGAGGGGAGAGATACCCTAAGGTACAGGAAAAGGAGGGAGGGGGGGAGAGGAACACTAAGCGACAGGGAACAGAGGGGGGAGGGGAGAGGAACACTAAGGGACAGGGAAAGGAGGGGGAAGGGAAAGGAACACTGAGGAACAGGGAAAGGAGGAGAGAAGGGAGAGGAACAGTAAGGGTCAGAGAAGGGAGGGGACCATTAAGGGACAGGGAGAGGGGCTGGATGTAAAAGAAACACACAGCGGGGCTTGAGAAGGAAAGAGACACACAAAGGAGCTGGGAAGAATAAAAGACACAAAGAGGAGAGATAGGAGACACAAAGGCAAAAATAGGAGATAAAATACACTAAAGGGAGTCAGATATTTAAAAGACGGGATAAGAAACACAAAAGGGAGGTTAAGAGGCACATGGGCGAATATGTTTTTGGGGGGGGGAGGAAAAATGCATCTTCGCCTATGTACCCAAAATTCTTTGCACCGGCCCTGCCTGTCACCTACCCCTCAGAGCTGTGTGATGCCGGTTTTTCCCTCTTATATCGAGCACGTTGTGGCCTGAAATCGGGTGCTGCGATTGAGCTCTCACTTACACGGTTCTGTACTTTGTCAGAGATGCCTACGTATTTTACTCATGGTCCGCGGCAAGCTTGCAACTGCAGGCCGCACAAACCATTGCGTGCTTGCGGCGGCCATCTTGAATCCCGCGATTACCGAGAGATTCACGGTGGCCATCTTCCAGATTGATATTATTGCGATCTGGACACTGGGATTAATTACCTACTGCACCCTCCTTCTGGGAATCTCCTGCAAGTGCTCCTCATACTTATCAGGTATCTGTTTATGGACAAGAACTGTCATTTATGCTGCAATGCTTCATATGCCTGTCTGTATTACTGTGTGACATGCCAGTTGCTCGGATACAATCTAATTACACTTTACGGAACCAAAGTGTATTATACAACTACTTTGCCAAAATAATAAGTTGCCATGTGTGGGTGTCCTCTGTTTACATGG